CATATCCATATATATGTTAGTGTTGTACTAACATAAATACATTTCCAAAATAAATTCCAAAATCATACTTGAAACTATTCACCACCAAATACTTTAACACTTATTAATTCCTTTTTAACATTGGAACCAACTTTTCCAATTTACACAAAATGGTCCTTCACCATTTTATCACTTAGAATTTCAATACAAAAATTCCTGTATTGAAATTATTACCATTCAAATGCTTTTACAAGAGCATAATTACATTTAAGTACCCCAACTATGCAAATGTTGTACTTAAATCACAAATCTTTTCAAACTTCCAAAATAGTCATATTTCAAATCTAAAACTCATTTCAATTCCCAAACAACAGTTTCCAGCATAGTGCATCAATTATATAACACTTACACAACAACCCATCAATTTTTCATATTCAGACAACTCGCACTACCTTTAAAGAATCAGTATTCTCTATTGATATGCACACTGGAATTCAATTCCGTTTCTTCCATTGCAATCTAGACTCGAATACGAATCTATCCATATAAATAACTCATTCTAATTCATTATGTACAATTTATGGTGACACTACAACAAATTTACTTATTTGTGGCATCTAAAATATTGTCACTAAAACTTATATTTATGTCACTATTTGTATTTTGTGACGTAAAAATTGACGTCACGGCAAATGTCACCCTAAGTATGTCACTAAATGTTAAATGTGACGATTTATATATTTTCGTCACGTATTACTAATTATATAGTGACATTAATGAATAACACCATATTATAATTTATATTCAATGACAATCAATTATGTCATGAAATTATATAAAATATTGTCATTATTTATTTAATTCGTCACCAATAATATAATAATTTTATTCTATAAATAACGAAAATAAAATCGTCACAAATTTTTATTAAAAAATTATATAAATTAATTTTTTTATAAATTACATTTAAGGACAAAGATTTTTATAAACTACAATAAAGGACAAATCTTTTTATAATTTAAAATAGAGAACAAATCTTTTTATAAATTACAATAATGACATATACTTTTTACAAATTACAATAACAACTCATATTTTTACATATTACAATAACAACCTATATTTTTACAATCACTACATTTTGATCCCTTCTGTGTAGAATACCAAAAACCAGCCCACATATCTCAACCTTGGTCGTTGCGACTTTATCTGGGTCGCCATTCTAAAATCTTGTACATACAAAAAAAATTAACTAGAAGCAAAACATATTAATGAATGATCTTTATTAAATTTAATTTAAGTAATACATTAAAAAGAAAGAATGTTATATATTTTAGCATTGCATATATGACCATAAAATAATAATAAAATTGTTGGTTCAAATAATATAACATACCTCCAACTCCAATTCCAAGCTCTATCAATCATTGAGAGTCTCACTGCTTTTATTTACAATGAGTCTGACAAAATTATCAAAATATTATGGTTATAACTCCAACCAATAAACTTTTCTTAACTCAACCAAAATATTGAAAAAAAAAAGAAATCAAATTTATAAAAAGTTAAAAGAAACACATTTATATGCAACAACATTCGATATACAACACGACACAAAGACAACAACAATCCTTCATATTTCACTATACTGACCACTTTTGCCCCGATTAGAATTAGTTCCATGGGGGAGATGATGGTGGTTTAGAAGGAAAAAGAACAAAAGAAAAAAGAAACAATTAAGAGAAAAGCACATGCCATTGTAAAATCAAAAAGCCAAGTTTTTTATTGATGAATTCTATTAAAATCTTGTCGAAAGTGAATTCAAATCTAAAAAATCAATAATGGAAAATAGAAAAAACTATGTGTAAAAATTTTAAAAACACATGAAAACTCATAAAATAAATTACCATGGTCTCAAAAAAGGGAAGATAATGAAGAACAAAGGAAATAAAAGAAGAAAATAGGACTATAGATGAAGAGAAAAGGGAAAAGGAAAAGTAAAAGAAAAAAGAAAGCAACATACCTGGAACGACAGAAACAAATGAAGAACTTAGGAAAAAAACCCTAAATAACATATAAATAGCGAGTAGAATTTTCTTAAATAAATTTATATTTAACTTAAAGTAAATGTGCTATGATTTAAATTTGATATTATTGTTATTTTATTTAAATGAATTTTATATTATCTTTGTATCTCTTATCAATTATATGTTTATTGTATAATTTAAATTAAAAAATTTATATTATGTATATATCAATATTTTTAAATAAAGTATTTTACCTGATTTTAAATAAATAAAATCATTTTCAGTAAGATTTAATTTTAGAGATCATTGTCTATTAAAAAAGTAAAGATTATTGTCAAACTTTTGATAAGATTTTTAATAATAACTTATTATATAAAGTAATTTATAATTTTTTAACAAGTATATTACTCAAGAATTAATGTATGCTTTTTGTTAAATTTTTTGTGTTAAAAATTTTTCACTTTAATACAATTTTGTGTTATTTTAATAAAAAGATAAAATTTTCAATATGTTTATTAATATTAGCATATATGTGAGTAAATAAAAATTTTTAATAATTGAACACAAGTAAAAAAAGAGACATTTTTTTATGAATGAGATTAAAATGAATGATTTAGCTTTTTTATATAAAAAAATACACTAAGGTGACAGGTTAAGCTCAACACGTACATGATCAATGTCAGGACCTATAGATGACCAGACCAAAGACTCTAATTTTTATTTTTAAAATAAATAAAAATAAATAATATTAAAATATTTTTAATTAGTCACAATAAGATATATAAAAATCTTGACGCAAACATTAAGTGACATAATTTCATGACGTCATTTAAAATCATCATATAAAAAAATAGGGATAACAATAAGTGACAAATAATTAATTTCATCATGCTAAAATTATTTTTTGTGACAATAATAAAACATCACTTTTAATGTCTTCTAAATTATGACGAATCAAATTGTCACGAATAAAAATAATTAGTGACAAATGTGCAACGCCACTAATTCAGATCGAATTGTCATTATAATAAATCGTCACTAATACTTTTTTTCATTTGAGACAATTCTACAACGTCATCATTTTATCTAAATGTCATTAAAAGTTTTCTCACCAAAGTTTTTGGAGGGAATATTTTGGCGCCAAACATATAGTGACAAAAATCAATGACTATTTTTAAAATTGTCATAAAAGATATACCATTAATCACTAAATATGACAAAAAGAAAAAAGAGTCACATTATAATATATATTGTGACGTTATAAGCAACGTTATAGAAAAATTTCGTCATAAATTGATAAATTTTTTGTAGTGTAAATTTTCAAAGTTGACCAACAGAATCTGTTTTGCAGAATCTGCTGTCCGATGTTTCTGACCTTTCCTTGGTTAAAAAATCATATTTTTTTGCATACACCTTGAAATTGATCCCCGTTTGTTTTAAACAAAACTAGATCGATATATGAACACAAATATATAAAAATAACCTCAAAATTAGTTTTATATAATTTCTGGTGAATTTTCAAACCCATTGTTAAATTCAAAATATAAACTGTTTTCTTAAACCTCATCCTTAGGTTCTTCATCAATTCTTACAACCAATTCTTTAAAATCACTTAACTCTTCATAACCCATAAAACACAAGAAATCAACATCCCCTTCATCAACTCACGATGAACTTGAACACTAACAATATTATCATGCAATATTGGTACCAAATGATAGCGTTTTTCACATATAACAATTTTCTATTTTCAGCATACTCAAAATCCAAATAATTTTGCTTAAAAATGAAATTGAAGCTTTCTCTCACCTTTGAAGAAGCTCATGTCTGGTTGGAGAAGAAGATGAACAAATTTGGATGAAATGTTAGGTACATTTCATCTTAATTTTCATTTAATCTAACTTTAAATGAATATAATATTCATTTACTTGAAATAAGACCAAATCACCCTTAATGAATCTTCTTATTCACCACAAAACCATGACAACTCATCCTTATCATATTTCAAAGTCAAAGCTGAAATATTTTGATTTTTATTTCCGAAACTCCCCTTGAATTTTCAAAAATTGCGTTTTAGTCACTAAATTCAACTATTTCGATTAAATCTGAAAAATGTCACATTTCCAAACAAAATTTCTCTGATCTAAAGTATTAAAATAATATTTCCAACCATTTTATAACATCCTTCAAATTTTTGTAAAATTCCAATTCGATCGGAATTACCGATTTCATTACCGGCTTTAACCATTTCAAATTTTTCTTTACTAAAATTTCAAATCCAAAAACATGGTTTCTATAAAACTACACTCTCAAGAGTAAACCATATATTTATGGAATAAAATTCTTTTTAGGAAATTTCTCACTTAATCCCCTAAACTTTTTCCCAATTTTCTACTTTGACCATCAAACTTTCAAAACTTTCACTTTGGTTATTATCTGAATTTTTGGGGTATTACAGAACTTGCTAATGTTTTAAGTTCGTTGAACATTGAAATTTAATTTTATGGGCGTTGACATTTTTATTTTTAGGTTGTTGGTATTATAAATGTTATGTTTTAAGTTTGTTGGATTATGAAATTGATAATGTTATGTTTCCAGTTATGTTTGAAATTAATCATTATTATTGTAAGTTTTAAAACTCGTCTAATTACTTTCTATTTATATGATTATTAGCAATGAGCACATCAAAAAATTTTAGACGGACAAAACCAATGAAATGTCATTTCCTCGAAATACTTGCAGAGGAGGCGCAAAAAGGTAATAAGCCATATAATACCTTCAAAGTTTCTATAAAGCGAGTTGCAACAGCTATTTCCGAAAAATTTGGAGTCCAATGTGACGCTAAACACGTGGAAAATCATTTGAGGACTGTAAAAAATATATGGAAAACTATATGTACAATTCGTGAAGAAAGTGGATTAGGATGGGACGACAACATGAAAATGATAACCTGTGATCGAGTATAGGACACCATATCTTTACGAAGAAATTATGTCAATGGAGAAAGAAGGATTTGGTGACGACTTCCTTTGTGAGGTCTTCGATTTTCTAGCAAAAAATGAGCTTGAGGCCAAAGCTTTCTTGGCTAAAAAACAAAGAATAGAAAATTTTGGCTTCAAAAGTTTACCCAAGGTTAAGATGTGAACTTTAATGTGGTGTACTATTATTTATGACTTAGATAATATTTTAGCTCTAATGTGTTGTAGTACTAATTATAGACTTCAGTATTTGTATTGTTGGTTTGATGTGTTGTAACACTAATTATGAATTAAATTTTGTATTATTACGGTTGGATATTATTGTTGTTTTAATGTGATAAATCCTTTAATTATATATTTTGACACTATTATTATTATTACAATGTTATGTACTATTATTGTTTTAATTTGGTGTACTATTAATTAAACATTCTTAGGATTTATAAACTTTTATATATATTTTCAATCAATTATTAATATATAAAATAAACCTACATAAATAAACCTAAAATAGTGTATTTATAACACAATCATCATAAATTATTAATATTATCTAAAATACAGATTTTTATAAAATATAATTATATATAAAAAAATGAACCTTTAAAAATAATAAAGAATAAAACATATCGAATATATATGTTTTTTTATTAAAAACAAATTCTGAAAACTGTTTTAGAAAAAAATAACCAAACAATGTAAAACATTTTACAATGTATCATCCAAACATTAGAAAATATTTTCTGAAAAATGATTTATGTAAAACATTTTTTAGATTTCATTTTCCTGGTCAGTAACAGTGTGAGGTTTCTTTGGAAATCAATACCTGCTACAATCAAGGAGAGCCAATCGGAGTTGGTTGCGGCCTGGAAAATAGGTCAAACGCTCTGGACAAGGGACTATGCTGGTGTCTACGAGGCTATTCGCGGTTTCGATTGGACTCAACAAACACGAGTTCTTGTTGCTGCTTTCTCAGGCAAAGCTTTCTCTAATCATAATTTTCGTAGCAATTTAAGTACGTGTGTGTGTGTGTGCAAAGATGAACCAAACCCCGAAGTAATTTTTAAGGAAACCCATATTTGTTATTTCAGATATTATGGCATGAAATAGGAGCAAAATCATGTAGAATCATGTGACTTCATATCGTAGAAGATTTTATTGTGTATTATAAAGATTTAGGTAATGTAGCAGTTGAGATAATGATTTTCTGTCTGTTTTGTAGAGCTATACACTAAGAGGATGTTTGAGCTTCTGCAATCTGCTTATTCAACTATAAGCATCCAAGATGCGGCTCAGTTTCTTGGAATGAGTGAGGAAGACGCCGCAAATTGTAAGTATACACATTGTTTATTGCGTTTATGTTCTGAAGTTTCCACTATTTTAATAATTTCTAGATGTTTTCATTAAGCTTCTTTTAATAGCCGAGTAACCTTGTAGTGTAAAGAGAAACGTATATTATCCGAGAGGACGACTTATGGATGTAGTTTAGGCTAAGAATTCCACGTTTTGGCCTGTGGAGACCTTGGCTTGAATCCCAGCAGCCTCACTAAGTCCCAATTATCTGAAAGAAAAATAGGAAGTGGAAAGAGACTGTCTTAGTTCAGGCCGGGGACATGTCTGGTTTATATAATAAATCGTTGACAACAATGTCAAAAGCTTCTTCTGCTTATGGATTTATTAGAAATCGACATCTTTAGGCTTTTGAAACTTTTACCTTTCAAATGCTCTTGAAACATGCATAATGCTTGATTCTCAAACATGGTGGCAAAGGAGAGCTATCATTTTCAATCTCCCTCTTTGTTTTATGAAACAAGATTGATGACTATGACAAGCTAAATACCCATTGAAAAGAAATGAACTTGTGCTGTTTATAGAGTTACTCCAGTCTAGGATAATGATAATAATTTGGATTTCCATCCAAGTCCAGTCGTGCTGATAGTCTAAGTACCATTTAACTTTCCACACACTCAAGATCGTTAACCAGGTCAGAAACTACGGTGTGATGGTTTATGTGGTTAGTAAGTCATAGGCTTTTGTCTGCAAAAGAGGATTGTAGATTCTGCGAGGTTTCTCTGAGCCTCCGATAGAGTCTTTCGAGGGTTGTTTTAGCTTCTGTTATGGCTTCAAAAGATGCAAGACAGTAATATTTGCTCTTTCCAACTCTTTGGGGTTGTTTACTTAATGCTTACAAGGTTTCCCATGCATCCAATAGACTCTTTTTAGGATTATTTTAACTGATTTTGGTTGTCACATGCAGATGTACTCCGGCAAGGATGGACAGTCGATCCTACGTCACCAATGCTAACTGTGACGAAACAAGCTATCGTGAAAGAGCAGAAATTAGACTCTGGCAAATTGCAGCGACTGACAGAATACGTCTTCCACCTTGAACACTAAATCATATTTACTTCTGAGTTTTGACTGTTTTGTTGACTTCGAATTCTTTAAGCTAGTTTATGCTTCTAATCTTTATGAGAATTTCGGGAGCTTCTTATAACGTCATACATATTTGATGCCTTTTTGTTTTTAATGTTTGAAACAATTTCACTGAATAACCATGCAGCAAATGTTTGAGCACTTTGCTCTCTCACAAACTATTAAGAAATTATAATTAAGATAGGTCATATTATTCTTTATTGTGCTTAATTAATCCTTATATTTTTCAAATTTTAAAAATTTGATCTCTAAATATATGGATTTAAGTTCTATTACGAAATCCTATTGGATGGCACCAGAACCAGAATTATACAGCAAGTAGCGAGTTAGTTCTTAACAAATCCTCTTGCATGTCACCTCTCTCTAAATTATTGTATTCATTCTAAACCAATTCAACACAACAGTGCGATGTACGAACAAATTGTTTATGATAATACCACTTCGTTTTGGGTGACAATCTAACCAGAATCTTCTACTCCTAAATGGCTTTTATGGTCGGTTATTGAATTTGACTCTACCCTTGGCGCTCACCTGTTCGGCTTCACTGTCATCTGGCCAAGCCTCATCTTTGTGTTATAGAGATTTAAGTTGTAGTTGTATCTCCGTTTTTTGTTATATTATATTTATCATGATTAAAGACGTAATGAATCGTAGTATAACATTATTATTATTATTATTATTATATAACAACCGTTATTTACTTTTCTTACCTTGGGTTATTGAGCTTTTATACAATCCTCGATTGTTTATCCACGTCAGAAAATTATGACCTAGCAGCATGTAGACAATTTTACTTACCTATTTTTTTTTCTTGGAGATTTCGATTCGAAATTCAAACATGTTGATTTTTGTTTGTTTGTTTGTCAAAATGAAACCTTCTTGTCACCTTGTGTGCTTTGCTACAGTGTGTCCTAATGTTAAAGATTTATTGCTTATAAAGAACCCTTTTCTATTTCAGAAAAAAAAGAAAACTTTAATAAGGAAAATATCTGTCCATAAAGCAACATTGATTTTGTTGCGGAATACGGCTATCGGATAGAGAAAAAATGCAACTGATAATTTGAGAAAATAAAAATTGAAGATAAAAGAGACACAAAATTTACGTGGAAAACCCCTAAATAATATAGGGTAAAAACCACGGGCAACGGTAGAAGAATTTCACTATGAGAAAAAATAGGAATTACAACCTCTCTCGATATACCAAGGATAAAACAATGATAATTCTCTCTTGATAAAAAGGAGAAAACAACTCTCAAGAAACTCTCTAAAAGCTCTCTAGTATTGGAAGAAATCTAGAATGCTTTGGGATGATTTTTGAAGCTAAATGAGCTAGGGTATTTATAGTTGAAACTTAAGGACTAATTTGTAAATACCCTAAATTTTAGGGATTAAATTTAGTAATTATCCCTTTATTTTTTCAACAATTTGGTTGCCTAAATTTGACTATATTAGCCGCCCAAAACCATTTTTCCAGCCGCCCCATGTGCTTTGATTTTCAATAACCTCCCACTTGAAGATTTGATTGGAATAATCATATCTTCACACCATTCTTTCTACCTTGCACCTTCATGTTGCTTACGTCTCTGACAGGCCACAAGAGGATCGACACCAAGTAAATTTATCAGTGTTGATTGGCTTCGTCATGAAATCTGTTATGTTGTGTTTGGTATGGATCTTCTGCATATCTACCGTCCCTTCTTCCACCTTTTCACAAATGAAATGGTACTGAACTCGTATGTGCTTTGTCCCTGAATGAAATGTTGGATTCCTTGCTAGATGCAAGGCGCTTTGACTGTCACAAAATAGAGAAACATGCTCTTGATTATGCCCAAGCTCCTCCAATAGCATCTTCAACCAAATTGCTTCTTTACTGGCTTGTGTAGCTGCTACATATTCTGCCTCTGTTGTGGACGTAGCCACAACTGACTGCAATTTTGAAACCCATCTTACAGCTCCACCAGCAATTTTGAACACATATCTTGTAGTAGATTTGCTTTTATCCAAATCCCCTGCATGGTCAGAATCTACATAACCATTGATTAATAAGTTTGATCCTCCGTAACATAATGCAACATTTGAAGTCCCTTTGATGTATCTAAGGATCCTCTTTACTGTATTCCAATGCTCTTTTTCTGGATTCGCCATGTACCGACTAACCACTCCCACTGCTTGTGCAATGTCTGGTCTTGTGCATATCATAGCGAACATTAAACTTCCCACTGCTGATGCATACGACACTCGAGACATCTCTATCATCTCTTCTTCACTGCTAGGACTCATACTGGAAGATAATTTGAAGTTAATAGGAAGAGGGGTAGAAATTGGCTTACAATCTTGCATGTTGAATCGTGACAAGATCTTCTTCAAGTAATTCTTTTGTGAAAACCAAATCTTCCTATTACTTCTGTCTAGGTGAATTTGCATCCCTAGAATCTTGTTTGATGATCCCAAGTCCTTCATTTCAAATTCCCTAGCCAGTTGTGCCTTCAATTCTTCAATATGATCTTTGTTGGGTCCTGCAACCAACATGTTATTCACATACAACAACAATATAACAAAATCGTTATCACCAGACCTCTTGAAATAAGCACAAGGGTCTGCATTAAGTCTGTTGTATCCAATGTACATAATGAAGGAATCAAATCTCTTATACCAACACCTCGGTGTCTGCTTTAGACCGTACAGAGATTTGTTCAACCTGTAAACCAAGTTCTTCTTTTCTTCTTCTTCTTCAAAACCTTCAGGTTCAAGCATGTAAATCTCTTCTTCAAGATTTCCATGAAGAAAAGCTGTTTTAACATCTAGCTGCTCTAGATGTAAATTTAATGTAGCACACATTTCCAAGACTACTCGAACTGTTGTTAGTCGAAACACAGGAGAAAAAATTTCATTGAAATCAATACCTTCTTTTTGAGCATATCCTTTGACCACCAGTCTTGCACGATACCTCTCAACTTGATCGTCACCATTTTGCTTGATTTTGAAGACCCATTTGTTACCAATTGGCTTCCTTCCTTGTGGTAGTGGCACAAGGTCCCATGCATTATTTTTATGAAGGGCTTCGATTTCTTCTTGCATCGCCATCATCCACAGTGAAGCATCTGAGCTGTTTATTGCCTCCTAGTATGTTGATGGCTCACCGTCCTCTGTTAAAAGGCAGTATGCAACATTTCCTTCTATAATATAATCTGAGTGCCAATTGGGACGTCTTCTCACACGATCTGATTGACGAGTTATTGGAGCTTCAGACTCTGGTTCTTGTTCATCGTGTGTTAGTTCTGCTTTAGAAGAATCTCCTTGTTCAACATCTTTTTCCACATGTATCTGTGTAGTCTCTGACTTTTCAGTGCTATCATCGTCTTCTTTTATTTGTAGCTTATCTTCTACAAAGATGACATCCCTGTTGATGATCACTTTGCGGGCAGTGGGATCCCACAAGCGATACCCCTTTACTCCATCAGCATACCCCAAGAATTTGCATTTCCTGGACTTTGGATCCAGCTTTGAGATTTCTTGGGAGTTGTACATCACGTACACAATACTTCCAAATATATGGAGGTTTGAATAATCAGCTGGTTTACCAGTCCATATCTCCATTGATGGCTTCAGCTCTATTGCAGTTGATGGAGCTCGATTCACTAAATAACAGGCGGTATTGACTGCATCTGCCCAGAATGATTTTTCTAGGTCTGAATCCCTTAACATTGCTCTTGTTCTTTCTAACAAGGTTCTGTTCATCCGCTCTGCCACTCCATTTTGTTGAGGAGTGTTCACCACTATGAACTGTCTTTTGATGCCTTCTTTCCTGCAAAAGTCATCAAATTCTTCGCTTGTGTATTCTCTTCCATTATCTGTTCTGAAACACTTGATCTTATTTCCAGAATCAAGTTCCACCCGCGCCTTGAAGTTTTTGAAAGTTGAAAACACGTCTGACTTCTTCTTGATAGGGTACGCCCAACATCTCCTGGAGTAGTCATCAATAAATGAGACGAAGTATTTTGCTCCACCTAGGGATGTAACTGGTGCTTGCCAAACGTCAGAGTGAACCAATTCTAGAACACTTTTGCCTCTAGAATTTGATTTGTTGAATTTCAACCGGTGTTGCTTACTTGTTATGCAATGGTCACACAAAGGAAGTGTTACCTTTGTTAAGCCTAGAAGTAGGTTTTTCTCCACAAGGACTTTCATTCCTTGTTCTGACATGTGTCCAAGTTTCTGATGTCATCGCATTGCAAAATTTGAAATACATGAGGTAACAGAGGTTTCTGCTTCTAGAAAAGTCTCTCCCTTTAGCATGTACAAGTTTGCAACTATCTTTTTTGCCTTTCAGCACCACAAGCGCTCCACGAAACACTTTCATGATTCCTTTTCGTGTTTCAATCTTGCTTGCATTATTATCCAATAATCCGTAGGATAATAAATTTTTCTTCAGGCCTTTCACGTGTCGCACATCTCGAACAACTTTAATTGTTACATCATACATCTTCAATTTGATGGTTCCCACGCCAATGATCTCTAAGGCATGATCATTGCAACTACACACAGATCCTCCTGAGACAGGTTCATACTGATGGAACCATTCTCTTCTTGAGGTCATGTGATATGTTGCTCTTGAATCAATGAGCCATATATCTGCAAATCTTTTTCTGCCTTCCACGGTAGTTTACGCTTCATAGCATAGAGCATCTCCATTATCTGAAGTGTTTGCGGTATTACCTTGTGGATTGGAGTTTTTATTTAGACTCCAACAATCATTCTTCAAGTGACCCTTCTTTCCACAGTTGTAGCACTTTAAATTCTTCTTGCTCCTCAACTTCGATCTACCATGTTTGTGACTGCTGCTTTGGCCACATTCTGTTGATCTCTCTCTCATCGTTGTCAACACTTCTGCTTGTTGCAGATTTACTTGTCTGTCTTCCTTGTTCTTGCGTCGATTTTCTTCTTGGAGAACAGCAGCTGCAACGTCATCGAAGACTAGACTGGTGACATTACTGTTTGTCAAGTTTATGATGAGTTGATCATACGAATCAGGTAGACTTTGAAGTAGAAGTTCAGCACGTTCTTGTTCTCCTATTGTACATCTTAAGGATGTAAGCTGAGAAAATAACGTGTTCAGTGTGTTTAAGTGCTCCGTCACTGAAGTAGATTCCGACATCCGGAGAGTGTACAATTTCCTCTTAAGGAAAATTTTATTGTGCAACGATGTGGCCTCGTACAATTTGGTGAGATGATCCCATATCTCCTTAGCTGTCTTCTTCTCCTCGATGCTTGACAATACTTCATCTGCTAATGCTAGATGAAAGTTTGCCATAGCATTTCCGTCCATTTCGATCCATTTGTTGTCAACTGTGAAATCCACCGGCCTTTCACTGATAGCTGCTAGACAACCGTCTTTCCTCAGGATGACCTTCATCTTCAATTTCCATAATGAGAAATTTCTCTCATTGAATTTTTCAATATCAAATTTCGTTGCCATAGCTTCTTTTACGGATAGCTCCCACTATTTCACTATCGTGAATAGTTCTCTGGAACCTTCAAAGAATGTGTAATAACTTCTTACTTTCTTATGTTGGAGGATCCACCTTTTGGTGACAACCACAAAGACAATAAGCAGATATTACACAATCTAATATGGCTCTGATACCAATTGTTGTGGAAGACGGTTATCGGATAGAGCAAAAATGCAACTGATAATTTGAGAAAATAAAAATTGAAGATAAAAGAGACACAAAATTTACGTGGAAAACCCCTAAATAATATAGGGTAAAAAACCACGGGCAACGGTAGAAGAATTTCACTATGAGAAAAAATAGGAATTACAACCTCTCTCGATCTACCAAGGAGAAAACAATGATAATTCTCTCTTGATAAAAAGGAGAAAACAACTCTCAAGAAACTCTCTAAAATCTCTCTAGTATTGGAAGAAATCTAGAATGTTTTGGGATGATTTTGAAGCTAAATGATATAGAGTATTTATAGTTGAAACTTAAGGACTAATTTATAAAATTAACTAAATTTTAGAGATTAAATTTAGTAATTATCCCTTTATTTTTTTCAACAATTTGATTGCTATATTAGCCGCCCAAAACCATTTTTCCAGTCGCCCCATGTGCTTTGATTTTCAACAGATTTGGTACACAACCATAAAGCAAAACTACATATAACGAAGCATTTTTTATTAAACGAAAGCCAATGCTTGAGCGTTTTGCTGACTTATAAACTCCTACTTACCGACATAATACTAATGAAACAACCATAATTGAAGAAACTAGTTATCTTTTAGAAGGCTTTCTTTATTCTCAAAACACAATTCCGGTGCTTCATTCAAGCTGAACATCGGATTCATAAGCTACTCCAGCTTCCCAGTTATTGGGGAGGGCGTTGGATGCCTCCACCCAATACACCCCGGCGCTGCTACTCACTTGGAACCTCAAACTGATGGATCCCGATGATGGTGGGTTCGTGTCGAAAACTGCTCCATATGCCCTCCTCATAAATATCCACTCCTTACGATCCGCCTGTGCCGTTCACATTCGATTTTCATACGCATCAGTATCGTCACAACAAATTCTAATGTTTCAGAATTACTGAATTCATTCGAGCGTTTTAATTACCTGCCAAATTTGCGCCGCGAGGATCTCGCTTCTTCCGGCTTGGTACAAGACCGCAATGGCCAAGTAATTGGGGTACTTGCTATGTTCATGAACCTTGAACTGCAGCTTGTAACCGCCGTAGCGGCAGGGGATTCTCTTGTATTCGACATAAACGACTCCGAAAGCGTACAGCTCGTCCGCTTTGTCCGATTTCGCTAGCCTACCGTAAGCGCGGGGGCTGAGGATGAAATCGGTTTTGTCGCCTTCACCGTGGTCGGTCACCACGATGTTCACCCCATCATCAGTGCAGAGCTGAGGGTTTGTGCACCTAACCTGATAGCAAGCACCACAACCACTTCCCTTCTTGTAGAGCCTGTACGAAACCCCAGCCACATTCGCATCATTCACAGTCCTTCCATACTCTCCATACCCGCAGGCTCCACCTGAAATTCATCACAGTTCAAACATGACATTTATATCTGATATCTCTGTCTAAATAACGAAGGAAATAAATAAATAAATAAACAAGAAATATATTATATATATAGGAGCAATGTACGTACTTGGAGTCCCTAAACGGTCGGGGCTGCCATAATAAGTTGCTCTGGACTTAACGAAATTGTCCTGGGAGTAACACAGTGTAGACGAAAGCACCATGATCCACACAAAGAAACAATGAAACTTAAATGAATACCCCATGTTTTCAGCTACAAAAGCAATCAATTTGAACAAAGAGAAGACAGATATCATACTGAATGAGAAGCTGAGACATCGGAGTGCCATATTTATAGGAGAAGGGAAGAGGGCGCTGTTGATCAAATTGCCATGCCCTTCTCTTCCACCAATTAAGGCTAAAGGGTTTAATGGGGTAGGATTAAAGATGAATTGTACTCACAAATTGCTATATTATATCATTTGTTTATGCTGTAATTGCTTTTCATCCATTATAGGTATAACAGTGGAGAAGAAGATGTTTTTGGTATTCTTCGTCCTCCGTTTCTCCTTTTTCTACCTATCGATCAAAAGAAAATCAACGGAAAGATGAAATAAAAGAATCCCACATTATTTTAGCTAAACTGGAGGTTTTCTTATTGTTCTAATTTTTTAAGTTATAAAATGAATACTAATTTTTTTATTATAAAATAAACATTACATTTTAGTTGTTTTAATTATTTTTAGGGGATAGGATGATATATTATATTAACTAGTAATATCTCGTTTGATCTAAAGTGTAACTAAAATTTTGTGTTACTATTTTTCCAACATTCCTAAGCAAAATTCTAAAAAAGTAAACTTTTAGTGTGTGTATGTATATATTTATAATTTATTTTTAAACTTATAAAAAATATTTTTCATTTTTGAGAATCTTCTTACAAGTAATACAATTTTAATAAAAACCCGTCATATTTCTCGTTACTTATACTCTCACTCATGAACGACACATATATCAGAAAGTAACGTATAACAAAAATTTAGGAGGAAATAAACTTATAAATTTCTAAAAGGTGAAAATAAATTATCAATAAAAATACATAAAATATGATAGTTTAATATTTTGAGGGGAGTAGCTAAGGGTTCATTCTTACTTTCACCCTCATTATAACATATAACAAAATTTAATGTTCGATATTTTGTATATCCTATAACCATAATGAACATATCTCTATACTTTTTTAAAGCTTTTATGAAATTATAATGATTTTAAAACATATACTCTATTTAATCTCATAGCTATATAGTTATGCAACGAAAGATAATGTTTATTGTGGCGTGTTCATGCAAACGTCGCTGCTGTTGTCATTTTGTGGCACTGTTATAATATACACCGTTAAATGTATAAAATTAGTGACGCTTACTCAAAACAACGCTAAAAGTGTGTACAAAGTTTTTGTTGACCATCTTTTAGTTGTATTATATTTTTCAACAGATATTTCAAATTTAAAATCATCTTACTAAATAAAAAATACTATTTTTAAGGATGAATTTCCTTTCATTTAAGATATTTAGCCAAACAATAGTTATTTAAAAAAAGGGTAAATTACACCAATCATCACTGAACTTTACTTTCTCTCATATTTCACTCACTATACTTTAAATCCGTTCAATTTCCTTGTTGAATTTAACATATTAGCATTTTTGGTCACTCAACCGTTTTCTCACAAAACAACGTTATAAATGAGTTGTTATATAGATTCAAAATGACGTTGTTTTGGTGAAAATTTTGTTTTTTTTTTAAAACGGCGTTGTTTTAACGCCGTTAAATATTTAACGGCTGAGTGACCAAAATGCTAATTGTATTAAATTCAACGATGAAATTGAACGGATTTAAAGTATAATGAGCGAAATATGAGAGAGAGATTAAAATTCAACGATGATTGATATAATTTACCCTTAAAATAATTTGACCAAAAGGCCTAAAGAAATATATTTTAATATGGGATAAATACCATAATTAATTTATATAAAAAACAAAAACAAAAAGAATTGCTTAGATAATCAACTATCATCTTGAACATAGGCATATGCAACTGGAACAATATTGCAAGTCAAAGACACCAGTCAAAGAAACTAAAAAATTTCATGTTTGTCACTTTTCAAGTTCAAAAGATTAGAGCATGAGGGTCGAGGGTGCCTGGCTGAAATGTTATTAAATTAAAATTGACTAACTTGGAAATCATGAAAATAAAGGATAACATTATAATGGACTTGAATTTAATACTAAATTTTAACAGTGTTAACGTAAACGTAACAAATAAAACTAACCATTGTACGAACATACCGTAAACGTAAACTAAATTATAATTAGGATATTGTACTATAATCATTAACACAAAAACTAACACCTACATCACAAAAGGACCATAAAAGGAAAATGTTAAAAAACCTAACAAATGCTCGAATAAAATAAAGATACGAACAAATCTTACTGCATCGGCAAACGAATCACAAAAGGTGATGAAACTACCGACAAATCGCAAATTAGAGTCAAACTATGTGAGAAAACTATTCATGAGCGCAAAACGCGTATCCAAATCAATCTGAGGGTCCAAAGCAGAGAAGATCAACGGGATAATAAATAAGCGTCATCTTAATCAGTCATAGCGATGTCAAATCCAACCCCGTGAAAAACGATAAACGAAAAAATGACAAAAAATCGTAAGATACCAAAAGATAAAAAACATATCACAAAGGCAGATATAAACGTGTCATAAAGGCAGAAAACATGTTACAAAAATTTAATTATTCTTATTAAAAAATTAAAAAAAGTAACAAGCAGGCGACAACCAACATCGAAACCGGTGCCATCTCCAGTTAAACAAAATTAAAGAAAAAAATTAGATTGCTTAATAATTCTGAATGCCGGAGGTCTCTCACGAAAGCTGCTCTCAACCTGGCGTGGGGGGCAGCCTACTATCCTTCATCCCCTACCCCATTACATATGGGAATAGGGTCAACTAATTTTTTTTATTTAATCACTGACAATGTATACATATTTTATAGATGGAAGTGTTTGAATATTACAATTTTTTTTAACCATGAGCTCACACGGTGAATCTTCTCTAATAAACTGACAAGTTTAGCATGTATTGTAACGACTGCAATAAACGCACCACTTTGGTGGGTTTCATTGTAACGCACTACCACGACAGCTAAACCAGTAAGAAAGTAACAAAATCTCTTAAACTACTGTCATTTATGGTGGAAAATTTTAAGTGAAAGACTTCACATTTTAGGGTGGAAAGCCATCACTTCACTGTTTTCGCAGGTTTAAATAACAAATTGATCTTAAAAAAACAAAACTCTTGACACGTTTAAATGGATGTGGGCATGTACAAGGAACAAGGTTAAATTACAAAGTTTTAACTTTTGTATAGGATTACATGTGTAAATGTAGGTTCTATTAGTATAGTATTTTATTTGCGAAGTGGGTTAGTGGCTTTTCTTCCTTGTTTTCCAGTTGGCGATTGCACGTGAAATTGTGTTGCAAATACCATGGTTTCATGGCTATGGTGGTGATTGATTAACACCTGGTTTCCAGTTCATTAGTAGACAAGACACTCCCCAAACATGTACTGTAACATTTAAGAGAGAATGAGAAAATAGTTTTTTCTTCTGAGATAGTGACCGCCACTTTTATTGGCTTAAACAAATGAGTTCACTCTCCATTAATAAATTCTTCGCCACTATGAAGAAATAATGGAGTGGACATTGTTGAGAATTGGGACCAACCAATCATACATCCCATGTGTCTGTATCCAGAGCATCATCCCCCGACCATCGGCTGACGTTTGGGGAACACAACTACAAAAGGTAATGTAATGAAAGAGTTGCAGATGCTCAATGCTCCCCAGAGAACTTTAAAGAAGGACGAGGAAAAAAAAGGTATGCAAGGTGTAAAGCAGACGAGGTTATTGTTGAAAAGTCAAAGCAAATGGGGCGGCTGATGGCAACAAATGGGGCGGTTGATTTGGTAAAAATTAGGCAGCATGTTTTTGTTGAAATTGGCAAGAAAAAATTACCTAATTTAGTCTCTGTACTCTAGGATATTTACAAGATTAATCCTTAAACTTCAATTATAAATACTCTAACTCATTTAGTTTCAAAACCATCCCAAATCATTCTAGTTTTCTCCCAATACTAGAGAATTTAGAGAGTTTTCTTCAGAATTGTTTTCTCATTTCTTTATCAAGAGAGAATTGTCATTGTTTCTCCTTGTTAGATCGAGAGAAGTTGTAATTCCTATTTTCTCATAGTGACATTCTTCTATCTTTGCCCGTGATTTTTACCCTATATTATTTAGGGGTTTTCCACATAAAATTTGTGTCTTCTTTATCTTCATTTTTATTTTCTCAAATTATTAGTTACGATTTTGCTCTATCCGATAGCCGTATTCCGCAACAATTGGCATCAAGAGCCAGATTTGAGTGTGTAATATCTACTTATTGTCTTTGTGGTTACCACCAAAAGGTGGATCCTCCAACATAAGAACCGTAAGAAGGTATTATCCATTCTTTGAAGGTTCCATAGAACTATTCACGATAGTGAAATAGTGGGAGCTATCCGTAATAGAAGCTATGTCAACGAAATTTGATATTGAAAAATTCAATGGGAGAAATTTCTCATTGTGGAAATTGAAGATGAAGACCATCATGAGGAAAGACGGTTGTCTGGCAGCTATCAGTGAAAGGCAGGTAGATTTCACAGATGAAAACAAATGGATCGAAATGGATGGAAATGTTATGGTAAACTTTCATCTAGCATTAGCAGATGAAGTATCGTCAAACATTGAGGAGAAGAAGACCAAATTGTACGAGGCCACATCGTTGTACAATAAAATTTTCCTTAAAAGGAAATTGTATACTCTTCGCATGCCAAAATCTACTTCAATGACGGAGCACTTAACACACTGAACACTTTATTTTCTCAGCTTACATCCTTAAGATGTACAATAGGACAAAAAGAACGTGTTGAACTTCTACTTCAAAGTCTACTTGATTCGTATGATCAACTCATCATCAACTTGACAAACAGTAATGTCACCAATCTAGTCTTCGATGATGTTGCAGTTGCTGTTCTACAAGAAGAAAATCGGCGCAAGAACAAGGAAGACAGACAAGTAAATCTGCAACTAGAAGAAGCTTTGACAACGATGAGATGAAGATCAATAGAACGTGGCCAAAGCAACAGTCACAAACATGGTAGATCAAAGTCGAGAAGCAAAAAGAATTTAAAGTGCTA